TTGTGGGCTACATCCAGGCCGTGGAGGAGTTGTGTTTGGCTCCCATGGTGTTTTTAAATCTCTTGAAGTGATTGTTGTTTTCATGACCTTACATTTCCTTCCTGGCTCCTGAAGACATTGGGGTGTGTAACCCCTGCATAAAACCACAGTTCTTTTTTTATTATTTTTTTTATTGATTAATTAGAGAGAAAGAGATTTGTTGTTCCACTTATTTATGTATTCATTGGTCGTTTCTTGTATGTGCCCTGACCAAGGATCGAACTTGCAACCTTGGTATATCGGGACAATGCTCTAACCAACTGAGCTACCTGGCCAGGGCAAAACCAAGTTCTTAAAGTCAGGCAACCCTGGATGTTAATCCTGGCTCTGCCACGTTTTAGCTGACAGTGGATACATTAAACTTTTCATTGTGTCTCCTACTGTAAAATTGGAGATAACTACTTCACAGAGATGTAAGACTTTAATGACACAGGAATTAATTGGCTCGCACAAAGCTTCGTACATAGTAAGTACTCAGTAAATTGTGGTATGAATTTTTCATTCACAGGAGACTTGAACTCTTTAGAGACCCTGTCATAATTCCTCTTCCGATACTGGAAAATTGGGAAGCACATGGGCAGGAGCTCTTAAAAGCAATCCCCTGCCTGGCCAGGTGTGGCTCAGTGGTTGAGTGTTGACCTATGAACCAGGAGGTAACGGTCGCATGTCAGGGGTGCAGGCTCGATCCCCAGTGGGGGTGTGCAGGAAGCAGCTGATCAATGATTTCCTCTCATCATTGATGTTTCTCTCTCCCTCTTCCTTCCTCTCTCTGAAATAAAAAAAAAGCAACTACCACTGCCATAGATAGGTGTTGAGGCATGGCTTCTGCACTCACGATTTTTAGATAGTCTGTTTTCTTTCTCTGTTGCCCACAGAATGGTTCAACTGAACTAAGTACCCCTCGTTACTAAGGCACTGAACATTTTAAAAGGTAGATTTGGGGAAACAAAAGGGAAAAGCTAGCAGTGAACTAATGGCCCTTCCTGCTAACCTCAATCCTGGTTCCAAGGTAGACAACTCTCAGGATCTGGGCACTGAATGCTGCTGATAAAGGAGAAGATATTCATGAGCCACTTAGACCAAAACTTGGCCATGGCTCAACCCCAATTTTTGCTGTTGGTTTTTGCCTGTTACGGGGAAATGAAGAGGCTGGGACTTAAAAGCAGCATTGGAAAAAGCATGCTATGCTGCACACCTTACCCCTCGAATAGGGCCAGGCTTCTTCACCATTCCCATCCCCATATGTTCCATTTCAGGAGTGCAGGCAAGAACAGAGAGTGGGCAGACTGCCAATGACAAAGACCACGGAACTGCCCCTAACCGGTTTGGCTCAGTGGCTAGAGTGTCGGCCTGCGGACTCAAGGGTCCCAGGTTCAATTCCGGTCAAGGGCATGTACCTTGGTTGCGGGCACATCCCCGGTAGGAAGTGTGCAGGAGGCGGCTGATGGATGTTTCTCTGTCATCGATGTTTCTAACTCTCTATCCTTCTCCCTTCCTCTCTGTAAAAAAAAATTAATAAAATATATATATTTTTAAAAAAAGACCATGGAACTGGCCTGGGAAAACTCTTCCCAGCTGGTTTTCCTACCTTTCTTTCTGCTGTGTAGTGTGTGTCTTCTTCTTCAGTCCTTTCTCTGATTCAATTACTAATGTTTATGTGCTCAGCATTGTACCAGGCATTTTATCCTACTTTTCAAAATTACTCCTGTCATTTATCCCTTTCTCTGTTCCCTGCATCACTGTTTCCCATGTACTATCCATGAGGGTCTCTCCAACCTTCATTTACCAGGAACAGTGGCTCCTTTCTTTACCGTAAATAATGCAAGGCGGTCCTTGAGGCTGAGGACAGAGGGACAGACAGTCCTGAGCCGCACCTGGGGAGCTAGCACACCAGGAGAGGAGAGGATGGGCAGGCAGCAGAGTGGAACAGCTGCAGAGCTTTCCCCCATTCCAGATTTAAGTAACTCCTTTGTTATCAAAAACAACGATGTCAGCATCAATGAGCTGCTGATTATAAAATTTATCCTTGGCAGAGAGAGAATTAACATTTGATGAATAGTTGCCATCTGCCAGGCACTGTGGAAGGCTAGTGGTTCACAGTGTTTTAGTGGTCAAGGACTCCTCTGGGGTTCTTGTGGAAGCTTTAAACTCTCTGCCTTAGAAAAATTCAAATGCACACATTTTACATAGAATTTACAAGGGCTGCCGAAACCGGTTTGGCTCAGTGGATGGAGTGTCGGCCTGCGGACTGAAGGGTCCCAGGTTCGATTCCGGTCAAGGGCATGTACCTGGGTTGCGGGCACATCCCCAGTAGGGGATGTGCAGGAGGCAGCTGATCGATGTTTCTCTCTCATCGATGTTTCTGACTCTCTATTTCTCTCCTTTCCTCTCTGTAAAAAATCAATAAAAAATAAAAAAATAAAAAGAATTACAGGGGTAAACGATATCCTGAAGGACAACCACAGACCCCAAATTAAAACCTTGTGTGCTAAGCTTAATCTGAGCATGGCATTACTGGGACTAGACACCAGTGTCCCACCTTACAGACAAGGGGACGTACCCAAGATTGCATACATCATGAGCAGCAGAAACATTTCAACCAGAGTTGTCTGCACACTACAACCTGCCTCCCTAGATGAAAATGTCATTGGTTTTTACTGTTACTGTAAATATCACTCATTTTTAAATGAGTAAATAAAGATTATGTGAGACACTGAAATCTGTGCAAAGCATTCTAAACCCAGCCAGGAAACCCCGAAGCCGGAGGTCCCAATCCCATATCCTATCGGCAAAAGGCCCCCTCCTCCCAGACTCACCACCCAGCCGGAAAGCCAGCCACGGGCGCTTTTCTGAGAGGTTTCATGTTCTTCAGAACAAGAGGAACCTCTGTCAATAATACCTCAGTAAAAGTGGGAGAATTTTTTTAAAGGCAATCTCTTTAAAATAATCCATCAGGCCCTAGCTGGTTTGGCTCAGTGGATAGAGCATCAGCCTGGGAATTGAAGGGTCCTGGGTTCGATTCCAGCCAAGGGCATGTACCTGGTTGCAGGCTCCTCCCCAGCCCTGGTCGGGGTGCACACAGGAGGCAACCAATCGATGTGTTACTCTCACATCAATATTTCTCTCTGTCTTTCCCGCTCTCTTCCACTTTCTCTAAAAATCAATGGAAAAATACCCTCAGGTGAGGATTTAAAAAATTAAAAATAATCTGTCATTCAAAATGTGAACTAAGAAACCAATCAAAGCCTATAAATAAGAAACAAAAGAAATTTAATTTCAGAATATTACATGAATATAAAAGACAATGCATATGATTATTTCTTTACAGTTACATATATATATATGATATATAGTCAAACAAGAATGAAAAGAAATGGCGACAGTTAAAAACCCTGTTTCTCTTGTTGAGCGCATCCAGGGATAGTGCAAAGGCAACCCTTGCTACGAAGAAAGGATCCTGGGGCAGGAGTGTTTTTCCCAACAGGTTCTGCTGGTCCCCAAATGTGTGGGGGAGTGCTCAATGGCTCTTTAGCATCGACTGGCCTCGCAGACTCCAGTTTCCATGGTAACCCAAGCACTCAGGCTATTATGTAGTCCACCTCCTCCTCATCCCCTCCATCAACTCTCCACTGGAGGAAAGACCTCAGCATTCATTGTCTAGGAAAGCTAGGTTTTTATAGCCGTTTTAGATTGGGTTCATTGCCACTGGTCTAAAATGCGTGTGCATCGTAGGAACCCAAATCTTTCCCCAAATCTAGGGCAATCCGGCCAAATGGTGGTATCCAGGTTTGGGATGGGGTCCTGCCTTCCACACAAAGACTTCAGGGTGGAGGACAAGCAGGAGGCTCTCTCCTGGGGAAAGGTGTTCTACTTAGAAAAGACTCCAGAACAAGAGCCATCAGCTTCCAGCACCTGTGCAAGGCCCCGTACGAAATAAGGAAGCAAGGAGTCCAGAGAAGTCCGATCCCAAAGACGGCTTCCCCAGTTATGCACTGCCACAGGCCGGTCACTGTGGGGCACAGCCATGACCTCAGGTTCTCCTACAAGGCAGTACTTTAAACCGCGTCTAATAGAGGCTCCTGTGAGGGAAGCTGAACAGAAACACTGCTATTCAGGAGAGAATGGTTCTGCTCTGCCACTCTGGGATTAAGTGGCGTCCTTACAGGCCAACCAAACCACCACCTCTGAACACCCAGTGGTCCCCACAGTCAACAGCATGCACTACCCCACTTCCCAAGGGGGCTCCCATGTCATCGCTGACTGACGCTGGAGGGACGTCAGAGTAAAGAGCTTGGGGCGGGTCAACTGTGGTTTCAGGTATGAGAAAGCTCCAGCTCCTTTAATATGTTGCCTCTCGGGTGTAGTATCAGGATCTCCTAATCTTTCACTGCTGCAGTGGAGTATTTCTCGGGAATTTTTTTGTGTGTGTCATTTTTTCCTTCTTTTGTTGTTTTCTTTTTGTTTTGTTTTGGGGTTTTTTTGTTTCTTCATTTTTTTGCAGTGGAGTTCTCAAACCAGATTCATTGGTCCCAGTGCAAAAGTCCATCATTGTAAAAGGTAAGAAACTCCATGCCTCTGGTTTTCACTGATTCAACCACTGCAGCTCACCCAGTGCAGATGTGAATCAATGAAGCAGGCTGGGTTTTCATGCTTGAGCCCTCTGACACAAAACACTGTCCCATATTCACACCACAGCAAAACCCATCACCACTGACCCCAGAAAAAATGAAATTTTCTCAGCCAGACGAAGAGGCATTTCCAGAGACTGATCCAACATAAAAAGTAAACATAACATTTTAAAAAATCTTATAGATTTAAAAAATTGTTAAATACTGGCTCAAAAATACCCTCCCACCAGTGAAAAGGGAGACAGTGCCCTTCTGTGGCCAATGAAAAGGGCTTTTGTCTTTGCGTTCTCCATAAAATTCCACAGGATTAGAACAGTTACATATTACAAGGCAGAAGGTTATACTATTTATTTCTCATATTTGAATTCCAACTGGATCACAGCTTCTATTTTAAAAAAATGACCTATCATACCCTTAACACAAGGGAAAGCATACTTAATAAATAACTTAAATGAAACACATACCCAAATACAGACAGAACCTGCACACGGGTGAGCTACATAAAAGCACATGCTGTGACAGACATCCCCCACCACCCAGCCAGGCGCACTACTGACTCCACACAACCAGTCTCCTGAGTCTCAGGAACCTCCGCAGACAGAGCCACAGCACAAACCCGATGACGAGGGGCAGCAGGTCCCTGCTCTGCTCCCACGAGCTGATGCCAGACCACAAGGACAGCCCACACCCCAGGGGGAAACAGTTAAATGAATAAAGTGTGGAGTGAAGGGAGAATACTACTTCAGTCTGTTCACACCAAAAGGGGTTTCTGAATTCCCTGACAGCTGGTGCAAGGAATTTATTTTTTCTCAATAAGGAAAAAAGCCAAATAGAAACCATACACAAATGAATTTGCTAATAAGTACTTTTAAGAATGACATAAAACTGCTCTACAGAAAGGGACTTCTAAGCAGTTTTATACTCCTACCCATCAATTGTTCACAATCTATCAAATTGGAAGGCCAAATGTTACCTTTCTTTCCCTTCACTATTGCCGTTACAGCAGCAGAAGGAACAGTAAGTATGAAAAAGAGGACTGGCACTGGACACAAAAGCAAACTCTGCTCCCAGGGTCATTTTCGTTTCAGCAATAACACAGCATTTCAATAGTTTCAAAACAGGTCAGCCAACCATACTTGCTGGGCAACTGCTTCACCAGAGGCCTGACTCGGCTCCAGCACACGGGTGAGAGCGTCACACAGCTTAAGGAGCAGGCACAAACCGACCCTTCTCCCTTGCCACGTGCTGCTCTCGGGGCAGTGAGTATTCACACAAGATCAAAGCCATGCCTCTGCTCACCCCAAACACACATGAGCATCTCAACCCCATCAAAGCAGCGGCTCCAACCCATCGCCCCATTCCTCCCCGTGCCCATTCTGACAAGGAGAGGGGCTGTGCAGCTCTTAGGACTCTGGTGATAAGCCACACTGCTTCCAATGAGGACATTCTCTCCTTTAAGTCCTGCAGAGACTATTGCTCACTTCCTTCCTCTGCCTCCAGCTGGCTCTCAGGAGACTGTCTAGCCTGCACACCTGACCTCTTAGAAGAACGCAGTATAACACCCCCTACCCCCACCCCAACCCCCACCCCAAGGAGTCGTCCTGGACAAAAAAACAACCAGCCCCACCCAGTCATACTCCGGAGCTTCCACTACATACAGATACTTCGGCAAACCTCTATTAAGCAGTCAGAGACTTCCCTTGAGTCACAGTGATTTGACAGAAGTATTGGCACCACACGGGCACCAGAGATGTTTTAGGCAGAGAAAACTGAAGGAAGGAAACGAGTTCAACAATCACACAATTATCTGACATCACTGAGGAAAGAAGGAAGGAGGGAGAGAGAGAGAAGAGAGGGAGGAACACAATCTAATAATTAACATTTGTTAAAATATTGTATCATTCTGAATTCTCCTTTTTCAATACTGCAGGCCAAATAATCTGCAATCTCACACCCAAGAAAACCTACAAATTTTCCAGGAAAGCTATAAATTCCTTGGACATAAATACGGTATTGAGGACTACAGCCTCGTGAGGTAAGTTTTCCCAAAGTTGAAGGTAAAAAAGGGAGGAAAGACATCTGGCTTAGAGCCCATTTAGATTACATAAACAAAAATAGCTTTAAAAGATAAACAAGCAACAAATAAACAAGAAATAATGACAAAAATACCCAACACTATCAAAACAGAGAAAAGTCCAAAATATCTGTTAAAAATAACATCAATCCACTAGGATGACAGTACTTTAAAAAACAAAACACTGGCAGTTGAGCACAAATCTCCTATTTTTAAAAACAGACTGTGCCTAAACAAATACATGAAATCAGCACTGGAGTCTGCCTAGTTCTGCCATTTACTGTGCTGTGTAAGCCGATCGGCTGGTTAGTGGTTTCCCCATAACGTTTTTTAAAAAAAAGCAAAAAAAAAGCTGCTGGCACTGGTTCAGAAGGCAGAGTTTGCAGAAACACCCAGTGAGTGGAGTTAGAGGTATCAGTCGAGTTACAGGATTAGTAACTTTCACAATTCAAACTGCAGCAGCAAGCTGCAAGTCCACGCTTCTCTGCGAGCGGGAATGACACCTGGCCCATTGCAGAGCAAACTCTGGTGGACAACAGGAGAACTCTGGTCCTTCAGAGGAATCCTAGGTGGAAAGAGAAACGAGGGCATTAAGCGCATTTATAAATATTTCTTTTTGCAAACCTCCTACCTAAGAGCTAGAGAATCTATACTTAATATTTTCTACAAACTGAGGATTAAAAAGTTTGGTTGAGAATTGATGAATTTCTACCAAGTAAACTTCAGTTTGTCCAACTGCTCTAATCTCAGTTCATTACATCATCTTTTTTTTCCAACCAATTTACATTCAATACCATCCCACACCAGTTTCAGATGTTCAGCAAAGTGGTCGGAAAACCATGCACTCCGCAGAGTGGTCTCCCTGCTGCCCCAAGCACCGGCCTGGCCCCATGCCCAGTTATCTTGACACTATTAACCATATTCCCCATGCTGCAATCCACATCTCTGTGACTATTCTGCAACCACCAATTTGTACTGCTTAATCACTTCATTTTTCCCCCCAGTCCCTCAATTCCCCTCCCATCTGACAGCTGTCAGTCTGTTCTCTGTATCTATGAGTCTGTTTCTATTTTGTGTCCTTGTTTATTTTGTTCATTAGATTCCACATATAAGTGAAATCATATGGCATTTGTCTTTCACTGACTAGCTTATTTCACTTAGCATAATACCCTCTAGGTCCATCCTTGCTGTCAAAAAAGATAAGATTTCCTTCTTTTCTATGGCCAAGTAGTATTCCATTGTGTAAATGTACCACAGTTTTATCCACTCATCTACTGATGGGCACTTGAGCTGCTTTCAAATCTTGGCTCTTGTAAATAGTGCAGCAATGAACACATCATCTTAAAGACAATAACAGCTACCATTTTACTAAGTGCCTATTTTGTACCAAGCACTGCTCTGAGCTCTTTTATGTACATTATCTCATTTATCCTCACAACCACCTGTGCATGAGGTGGTGCGCTTGCCATTTAACAGGAGAAGAATCTGAAGCCTACACAAGTTAATTTGCCCCAAGATTTATAAAGTTACTAAGCAGCAAAGCTGGGGAGGGACTGAGCCCAAGCTTGAAGGTAGAGCTCAGGTTCTTACCAACTGCAGCGAAAGCCCTGACAGTTTTTTTCTTTTTGTAATGCAAGTGCATAAGTTGAGCTTTTTGATTGTTAAGAGACATCCACTTCAAAACTCAAGCTGATTGAATCCCATTGGACCCTGAGTCCACAGAATTATTCTTTACGGAGTGCTCCTCTAATTAAAGGGTTGCACTATTACATTTTAACTGGGATTGCCAAAACCATCCAAGAGGCATTAAAGCTCCTAGGAGAAAAATTATGTTTTCTTTCTCTGTGCCTTAAAGATGTAAATCTCACCATGTCTTTGACATGTAACTCCCTCCTCACCACCCCACCACCCCCCAGGAAGTAAAGAAGCTATAGGATCTCTCTGTGCAATCTGCAAGTTTATATATGTCTACACACATATGTTATGTATATGTGACTTTTCTCTCTAACTCTAGATGGTATTGCTTAAATTAATTTATAAAAGAGCTGTATTTAATTGGCTTAAAAATAAGCAAATTATAAATTAAGTATTCCTAAAAATTCAGAAATAACTACACTCACCCAAATGCTTTTCAAGTTCATGTGATATGGGATAATCTTCAGTAAATAAAGCTAATGTAAGTTGGCTTTAATTAAAATAGGTATGTCTTCAGGGTTACCAACATAAAATATGTCTCAGTAATACACCTTTGTGGATACAAGATTCTAGTGCTATTGTTTTTGAGGTTTTGTTTTATACCTGTAAACTGCACTAGATTCTGAATTCTAGTTTCCTGCAATATTTGGCTACAACTCTCCAAACTAACATTTCTAATTTTTCACCCACCCTCCTGACTTGGAATCATTGGAATTAAAACAGCCCTTTTCCCAAAGCCATGCAAGCTAAAATGGGACAACTTGAAATAAACTTCAGAGAAACCACCACCACAGCTCATGTATGGGCAATCTTCATGCCTATTGTCCTATGGGCCACTCAGAAAGATCACCAGAGACATTTGAACTGAAAACCAGGAAAACCTATCAGATTGCCACTGCCTGCCCTCACTCTATCTGAAGATGCTTCAAGCTAGACATCTAGAAATCTTCTCGACTGGCTGCCTTCAGAACTCAGCAACTGGGATTATAATCTACTCCAATCATTAACCTTTGTTCTTTATTTTCTTTTGTCTCCGCAGATATGCCTCTTATTAAATACCTGATACAGATACTTGCACCATATAGGCCTAACTTGGAGAACCCACCTGCATCACCACTTCCTGAAATGAAACACAACCATTTAACTGAAATGAGCTATTCTCAGATCTAAGAGATCACTTAGATGAGATATAAAGCAATCTATCAACTCAAGGTAGGTTCAAACCTACTTACACCAGACAGCTCAAGATGTTAATATATTTCACAATATAGCCTAAATCTTTGAACAGATTCCTAGGGCCCCTGAGATCACTGGCTTAGTTTCATTGTAGGACTCTTCAAGTTTGAAACAATAGCTACGGACTGGATTTCAGACTATTGCCTGTGTAATTATTTTAGAATTTGCTATTATAATCCTAATTAGATACGTACTTTCTGGGTTACAGGGTGCCCTACCCCGACTTTTTAACATATCAGCTAACCAGGCAGTTAAAGTCCTTGCCATTAACTGGGACACTGCAGCATCATAGTGGATTGTAGGATTAACCATCACAGTTATTTTTCTTTTTGGAATGCAAGTGCCTGACTTAAGCTTCAATTGCTGAGTCATCCATTTCAAAGAAACATTCACTTCAAAGACAGTATCTCCAATAGACACAAGGCCAGCCTCACTGACTAGATAAAGAACTAGGCTACTGGGGCTCCTATGCTTTAGAGATCTTAATTTCAATAACTGCTCATTTGGGCCACTGGTTTTTTTCTCTTCTCACATTTTAAATTCCCACTCTTTATGCTTTAAATTCACCAATAAAGAGTGAGCCCACGTGACCCTGGACCCCAATAAATGCAGAACCCTACGCCAGTGTACTCTCTCTCTCTGCCCATGACCTCACTATGCAACCCTAGGTGGGCTGTCTAATTTCTAGGTCTTGTAAGTAATAAAACTTATTTTTCAAAAAAATTTTCTGATGGTTATTCCTGAAGGGCATCTTGCAATCATAATAAGAATCACAATGACCAATCCAACCACAACATTGGTTATTGATAGGCTGAGACCAATACAAAACACCATCACTACCCTTTTCACCAGCAAATGTTTACTAAATGCCTACCAGATACAAGGCACTGTCACTACTGGGAGCAAGAGAAGAATAGATGACAGGAGACCACAGTATATTCATAAGTCTGACCTTTGTCTTCCAGAAGAGAAACTAGTTACAAATAATACATGTGAAGTAAACATTTTAGTAGCATCAATAAAAGTTCAAAGGAGCCCTAGCCAGTTTGACTCAGTGGATAGAGCGTCTGCCTGCGAACTGCAAGGTCCCAGGTTCGATTCCGGTCAAGGGCACATGCCCAGTTGTGGGTTCGATCCCCAGTGCGGGACTTGCAGGAGGCAGCCGATCCATGATTCTCTCTCATCAAGGATGTTTCTATTTCTCTCTCCCTTCCTTCCTCTCTGAATTCAAGAAAAATATATGAAGAAAAAAGTTCAAAGGAAAAAATATATCTGGCTGGGTTATTTAAAGAAGGTGGGGTTTAGGCTGGGCTTTGGAGAATGAGTAAGATTCTACTTGTATTTTATTATTGAGTTACTGGGGTGACATTGGTTAATAAAATTAGAATGGGTAAGATTCTGACTGATGAAATTACTGCCCATTAATAAGTAGGTGTGTGCGTGTGTGGTCTGCAAGCATATTTGCCTTCCATGACCTATCGGGTCAGCAACTTGTTTTTAGCAGGGACACTCCACTACCACCCCCCAAAAAATTAGTAGGTGCTAATTCAACAGTTCTCATCTGGGGGTGATTTTTCTCCCTCCCCCCCAGGGGATATTTGGCAATGTCTGGAGGCATTATTGTGTCACAACTGGGGGAAGGGTGCTACTGGCATCTAGTGGGTAGAGACCAAGGATGCTGCTAAACATTGTACAATGCACAACAGGACAGCTCCCCACAACAAAGAATTATCATCTTCAAAAAATGTTTATTCCTTTTCTAAAATCACCACCAAAAAAATGTAGGGTTGTATTAATTGTAAAAAAAAAAAAAAAGATGATGCCATTAAATATGTGAGCTTGGAGACTGAAAAGAGTTCATATCTGGAGATGCAGGCTTGGATACAGTTATCCCACAGAAAGCAGAACTGAGCTGTTGAAGTAGACCAAGCTGCTAAGAGGGAAAAATCAAGAGCAGAGATGAGCAGAGAATTTAAGAGAGAACACTGAAAAACACAAAGGATGGAAGGGTAGGCAGATGACAGTAAGCTACTGCCAAGACAGAAGAGAATTAAAGAAGAAGGAGGAGAACAAGAACAAAGAATATCATGACAGCCAAAGAAGTGACCAGGGAGAAAGAAAAATGAAAATGCCATTGTCTAATCCAGTGGAAGGTCTTTCATTCTCAGTGGGCCTCTACTTTTCTGAATCACTAACATTTTTGAGAATCTAACAAAAATATTTTTTTTCTCCGCCATGAAAATGCACATATGTACCAATACATAAAATTACATTAACAATACCAGGAACTTCTTTAGAGCTTTATGAAGTCCACAGTTAACAGATCAAGCATCCCTGCACTAAAATTTCTTGGTAAATTATTACATTACACTGGCTTATTTATTTATTTTTTAATCCTCACCTGAGGATATTTTTCCATTGATTTTTAGAGAGAGTGCAAGAGAGAGGGAAAGACAGAAAATTTGATGAGAGAAACACATTGATTGGTTGCCTCCTACACGAGCCCTGACCAGGGCCCAGGTCAGGGAGGATCCTGCAACCGAGGTACATGCCTTTGACCTCAATCAAATCCAGAACCCCGGCGGACCAACGCTCTCTCCACTGAGCCAAACTAGCTAGGGCTAAACTGGCTTATTTTTTAATGCATTTCTTCCAAAAGCAAAATTGTCAATATAGAAAGACTTATTTCTTGATTATTTTTCAAAAATGAAAGCGACAAAAGGTGTAATTTATACAAAACAATGTACCCTTCAAATATACCTTATGATTAGTTTTGACTTATGAATATATAGGTAGAACTATGTAGACGCACATAACTCAACACCAAACTTGCCTCAAACAGCCCAGCCCTAGCTGGTTTTAGCTCAGTGGGTAGAGCGTGGGCCTGCGGACTGAAGCGTCCCAGGTTCGATTCCAGTCAAGGGCACATGCCTGGGTTGTGGGCTTGGTCCCTAGTGTGGGGCATGCAGGAGGCATGCGATTAATGATTCTCTCTCATCATTGATGTTTCTATCTCTCCCTCCCTCTACCTTCCTCTCTGAAATTAATAAAAATTTATTTTTAAAAGAAAACAGCCCAGCCTCAAAATCAGAAGCAAGGTGGAAAGAAAAGAATTCAGATAATTCATTCAAGGATAAGTAAAGAGACTATACCAAACTCTAATTTTTTTAGAAAAGTATAAAAATTTATCCATAAAGATTGGACTTTTGTTCCCTATCAAAATGTTTCAAATAATAACTATGCTCATGTCTCGGTGGTAAAATGACCATGTCAAACCAGAGGTCACTTCAGCTGCCACACAAGCCTAATAAAACAAGACCAAGTCTCCTCTGGTTTTCTTTAGTAACAATTATGACCACTTGTTTATGCTTTAATAATCATGGTGTGCTTCCAAAACATTAGTTCAGTTGAGCCTCATAAGAAACCTCATTTTCAGAGGAGGAAACTTGGGCCAGAGGAATGATGACTCAAGTCAGGTCTAACTACAAATCCCCTGGTCTTTCTATAAAACACATGGCTTCTTCAGAAGAAAGCACAGTAGCCACTGCCTTTTACCAGGAGAGCTTGGGCAACCAGCAGTCCCAGCACTAAATAATCCTCTTTGTCCTGAGCCTCAATAAACATCTTTTTTTAAAAAAAATATATTTTATTGATATTTTACAGAGAGGAAGGGAGAGGGACAGAGAGTTAGAAACATCGATCAGCAGCCTCCTACACACCTCCCACTGGGGATGCACCCGCAACCGAGGTACATGCCCCTGACCAGAATCGAACCCGGGACCCCTCAGTCCGCAGGCCAACACTCCATCCGCTGAGCCAAACTGGTTAGGGCTCAATAAACATCTTGTATATGATTTCCAGGGTCCTTTAGCATGAACTATCTCTCTGGAAAGTTTCACTGAATAAACAAAACTGAAGTCTATGACAAGAAGGAACGTAACTATTCCATGTTTACTGAGCATATTCTTGGAACTTCTGTACTCAGTTTCACAAATTAGTTAACATTTGTTTTTTATTTGCTTAACAAGTACTCTGAAGGTATTTTACACGTGTCTGTGCAAGAATGCAGGGACCAGGAGGGTCTATCCTCAGCTCTAACCCTCAGCACCTGGGACAGTGCTGAGGAGATGCACAATAACCATCTGCTAAATGAACTCAAGGGCAAGACCCAGTCTTGTAATTTTTACATTGCTTCTAACTACAACCATTTAAAAAATGTTACTAACTAGATGTAGAAAGGAACCACATTCAGTAAGAACACAGAATAAATAAGTACAATTAGTACCTTTTTTTCCCTCTTTCTTCCCCTCTGGCCATTTCAATCTTGTTGGTGTCATCGTGCCATCTGGAGATCCAGAAAATAACTGTAACAAGAAATTTTTATAGTGACTTAAATATTCTAATGTCATTCCTATAGATAGACTTTACTAACCGGAATTTGTTTACTGGGTCAATGTCAATGTCCAGAGTTTTACTGACATATTTATATCTCATTAATCTTAACTGGTTTTCTTGCTGGCTCACTGAAGTGACCATGCCTGGGACACCTAAAGGACTCCTCCAGGGGTAATGCAGCGCCAGGTAGTCTGGCTCAAATGCTACCCACCCTGTGGAGTCTCCCAGTAAGAAGTGCTCCCTCAAGCACTATGTTTGTGGAGCTATCTCACTGTATTTGCCTTCTTTGCTTATTATGACTGGCTGTATCTTCCTTAAACTCAAAATGTGTTTGTTGAATGAATCAATGAAAACCTACAGAAAGATGACAGCATAAATGAAAGGATTAATTGAGAAAAAGGCCTAGTTTACTGAGAAACACAGTCAAACAGATGACAGTATATAAATTTTCCTCCTTTCTATAAATAATCACATACAAAAAGAAGGTACAAAGAACAGTATTTTCCTACATTCATATTCTCTTTGCTGGCTCTCTTCAATTCACCAATGGCTAGAGATTCCGGCGTAGGGGCCTTGTTCTTCCTTTCTGACATCATCTGACTTCCCAGGACCTTCCGCTGATTTAGGAAGAAAAAATATTTGATTTATAAACATCTGCTTATCTGTATTATTGCTATTCTGGTCTTCAAAAATAGTTCCTTAAGTTAAGGAAATCTCAGCTTTCTGATAAATTCTCCCAGGCCATCTTCTTCTACAAGGGAGATCACACCAAAAGAAAAAGAAAAAAACAACAACCTGAAATCATTGCCTTTCTTTAGGTTATCACTTTTCCTCTTCATTTAAAAGGGGTGCAATGTTAGAAGCAACTTTACAGTTTATTTAAACTCTCTAATACAGGCAATTACATTGTGCTTCTGAAACTATAAAAGAAACTCCAGTTACTTACTTGTATAATGTTTTCCCCAAAGACATGTTGTCTCTGGCAGTTCTTAAGAGTCCCCTCCTCTCCTCCCAACTAAAGAATACTTACACTGGGCCCACTCTAAGACTTAGCTTCCCCAAGACTGGAAAATTTGGAGAAATTCTATAAGAGTTTCTAATATAGTCACAAGGTACAGGCCTTCTTAAGAGGGTCACATGACTATACTGACATTTCTCCATATCCACACCAACACTTATTTTCTGGGTTCGTTTTGAGAACAGCCATCCTTATGATTATGAATTGGTATTTCATTGTGGTTTTGATTTACATTTCCCTAATGATAAATGATATTGAACATCTATTCATGTGTTTATTGGTTATCTGTATATCTTCTTCCTTAGAAAATGTCTATTTAAGTCCTTTGGGTATTTTGTTAGTTTGTTTATAAAAGTTCTTTTTACATTCTGAATATTAGCCTCTTATAGATATATGTTTTACAAATATTTTCTCCCATTCTGCTTGTTGCCTTTTCACTTTGTTAATAGCAAAGAAAATTTTAATGTCAAGCAAATCTAATGTTCCAGAGGCTATTGGCCCCAGTGAATCAGGATTGAGAGAATTCTAAACTTCTATTAATGATATTAACTAGGATCAAAATTAGAGTTTAGATGAAATTCCAACTGCTGACAACTGCAGCTTACTGGAAAAAATACATATATTACAAAATATATACATATTTTTAGTGCACAATTTGTCATTTTAAGCAAAGAGCTCCTTGACTGTTGATAGATTTATAGATATTAATAATGTTAAAATAATTTTAAAAAGAAGAACCGTAGAATATAGAACAGTGCTAATCTCATTCTAAGTTAACCAGAACCTTGCTTTAGTTTAAGGTATGCCGGAAAATTTGAACCTCATAATCAAGTTATCTACTGCCACCTGATGACAATATCCCCTAACTACAAGTCAAACCATCCACAAAGACTGAAAAATTGAATCTGCAAATAGTAAGGGCAACAACAGCACAGAAGTACATATTGTATTTGTTTTAAAAACAAGATTTGTAATGAATTTGATACAAAGGAATAGACTACAACTGATCAAATATTAAGCTCACAAAAATTTGAGTTACTTAAACCCACAAAGTCCATTTTCTAACAATTTTTCTAGTCTCTATCAATCTTCTCACTTCTCTATAACTTCAGCAAATTGCATAATGAAGTGTGTAGTACAAAGCAGGTCATGAAGCAAAAGAGACTTTCTCCACAGTTCAGAAACAAGGAATCTGTCCTTAACCACAGAAGAGAAGGATGGGCCTTTATTTCTTTCATTCCTCACTTCTCCAAACACAGAACCCCTTCTCTGATTTGAAGCACAGAAAAATGCTTTGAAAAATAAAAGCTTTTCCAAATTCTATCCTTATCCTCTTACAAACATGCCTTTTACAGGGTTCCAAAGAATAGAAGAAAGCTGTTTATGCATAAGAACGATGAAACTGTTCAATTTTCTCATAGTCAATGCTGAAACCAATAGCACAGCATACTTACCTTAATAAGGCCACTGAAGGAACGTGAACGGGCCCTCTTCTGTACCCGGGGAGTAGAAGGTTCTTGCCCTGGTGTTAGGGTCACAGATTGCTTATTAAACTAAAAGAAAACATAGAGAACATTTTGTTAACATTCTCCCAGCAAGCGATAGCATTCTGGGACAAACATATAAAAAGCTAAGTGTAAATACCGAGAAAAATCCAGTAGTAAGTGATTCTGTGCATATATGGATAAGTAAGTAGAGTGGCAAGCAAATCACAAAGGCAGAAATGCTGCCAAAAAACAAGTCCAAATTTATTAAATTAGTTTGAGGGTTAAATTAAGGAGCGCACACCAAAGAAATCAAATTGGAATCAGATCAAATTCTAGAATTAGACCTAACCACCAGTTTATAGCAAATACAGAGGACTGAAGGACATCTTAAATAATACCACAAGGATATAACCAGCAAAATCCAGACTCTGGAAGGTATCACGGGGGTTGGGGTGGAAAGAAAGAGAATATGTGTATATATACGTACTTGAACGCAATGTGGTATCCTGGATTGGATCCCAGAACAGAAAAAAGGATATTAGTAGAAAAATTGATAAAATCTGAATAAAGTGTGTAATGTTAATAGTAATGTACCATTGTTAATTTCTTAGTTTTGACAATGTTAACATTAGGAGAAACTGGATGAAGGGTATGTAGAAATTCTCTGTTGTATCTTTGCAATTTTTCTCTAAATATAAACTATGTCAAATTTAAGAGTTTATTCAAATGAAGAAACTTGGGCAATTTTTTAGAGGTGAAAAAGAGGGATAAGAGAGAAGAAGGGACCTATATATTAAAAGAGACCCAGTAGATGTATCAACAACAACAAAGAAAGGCATACGCTTTCTCATGCCACTCTAGGAAAAAATCTGCAATGAAAATACTTATAACAAAAATATATAAACTAAAAAATGACCTAATTTCCTCAACATGCCCAGAAGGCAAACTATACGTATATACATTAGGTTATTTATGATGAAATATTATACAACCATTAAAATGTTTCTAGCCTGCCCTGACCGGTTTGGCTCAGTGGATAGAGCGTCGGCCTTCGGACTCAAGGGTCCCAGGTTCGATTCCGGTCAAGGGCATGTACCTTGGTTGCGGGCACATCCCCAGTAGGGAGTGTGCAGGAGGCAGCTGATCAATGTTTCTCTCTCATCGATGTTTCTGACTCTCTATCCTTCTCCCTTCCTCTCTGTGGAAAATCAATAAAATATATATATTTAAAAAAAATGTTTCTAGCCTTTTAATGACATGGAAAATGTTCATGATATAATTTTAAATGAAAAGGATAGGATATAGAAAAATTGATTGTATATTATGATCTCAAGCAGAAAAAAAAATTGAAATACACATTCATAAAAGAAACACTAGAAGAGGAAGGGAGAGAGATAAAGAGCGGGAGAGAGAAACATCAATGTGAGAAACACATCGGCTGCCATAAATCCCAACTGGGGCCGAGATCAAACCCGAAACCTAGGCATGTGCCCTGACCGAAAATCGAACCCGCAACCTTTTAGTGTATGGGACGACACTCCAACCAACTGGTCAGGGCAAAATGGCAGTATTTAAAATGTAGGCAAGGAGTATACAGCCATGCATAAAATGCTTATGCTATAATATTTAGTGAAAAGGGAGAGGTAAAAGAAAGTATATGTTACAATCAAACTATATAAAAATATGTCTATACAAAAAGAGACTGGAAAAAATAGCCAAAATGTAAACATAGTGGGATGAGTGATTTTATTTTTTTCTTATCCTTCTCTATAATTTCCTATCTTTCTAAAAAAAAGAACAAAAATAATGTTAAGATTTTTCCTTTATATTACATTTAATCCTCAGTGTTCTTGATAAGTCATTACACTTGTCCTACCTGAATTGCTATCTTAGTCTCTACCAAGAATCAAATCACTACACTTTGAGTTGGTAGTAATACTCAGACAAAAACCTCTAAAATCCCAGTCTTATCACAATTTGCTAGGTATCGAAGTAAATTCAGAGAGTGATAGAAAACTTCTCTTGAAGGACTCTGTCCATTGTTAAGAACAGCTCAGTTCAACATTTTCTGAGCACTTATGTCTGGCCCTATGCTTGAAATTAGGTATAAAAAATATATGTATTAAAAACACTGACTCTTCCCTCAAGAAGGTCTCAGTTGAATAAAAAGTCAAGAGACTTACCCTGCCTGTTCAGCTAAAATTCAAGAGGGTCTGAGACAAGATGAATTTCCTGAGAAAGCAACTAACCACGTCATCAGTATTTACTCAAGCTCCACTTTGAGTCTCAAAATGGCAAAGGAGAGACCTCCCATACCTCCAAAATAAACAAACTTAGCCACTAGAATTCCTACTTATCTATATATATAAAAGCCTAAGTCACTGAATGACCGAATGACCAGTAGACAGGTCACTATGACATGCATTGACCACCAGGGGGCAGATGCTCGATGCAGGGGCTGCCCCCTGGTGGTCAGTGTGCTCCCACTGCAGGAGCGCTGCTCAGCTGACCAATGGGCTCCAGACACCAGGCTCACGGCTGGCAAGCGCAGCTGTGGCCTGCGGGGATCGGGCCAAAATCGGCAGTCTGACATTCCCCAAGGGGTCCCAGATTGCCAGAGGGCGCGGGCCAGGCTAAGGGACCCCACCAGTGCATGAATCTGTGCATCGGGCCTCTAGTTTCTAATATCAGACAAGGCCCTTAGCTAACAGCATTTTCTAATTGCAAACAGCTCACTAAGAGCTACCACTTTGCTCTACTATGCCAACTACTTTACATAGATTCTCTCTAATCTTTACAAGATGGACATTACAATTACCATTTTACAAAGAAGAAAACTAAAATTCAGAAAGGTTGTTATTTACCAAAGAAGGATTTAAACTTTGGAATAATATATTGTGACTGCTGGTTCTCTCTCAGCAATCTTGCTACATGATCAAATTAGAGAAGCTCTAACTATGGTTGGATCCTTCTGTTAAACTAGAAAAATCCAAGAGCCTCCACTCTTTTCTCTAGTGGGGCAGTAGTATAGAGATAGAGATTCCAATGAGGTTCCATAGACAAGTTTGCTTCAATGGCTGAGCCAAGGCTTGCGCCAATAAGAGTCAAAAATTAAATGAGATTCTTAACAATATCCCCTATGATTCTATAACCATGATCACATGAATTCCGAAAGCCCTGTTTCCCTGCTTTCGGGCACCTGTCTGATAAGCTGCTTCTTCTTTGCTGATTCGGGCATATTGTGAACATGTTGGAACAGCTCTTTCAGTGCCTCTTCTGTCCGCTGCTGGGTCTCCTCCTGATGAGAGCAGGAATCCATCTGGTTCCGTTTCTGAGATTTTGCCAGTTGGAAGGACTTAGAATGACACGAAGCTGTCAGATCAAGATCATCCTAGAGAAAATTTAAAAGAAAAATAAGTGAATACATCCTACCAGCTTTGTTTTTAGGTTCCCACAACCCTGGAGCAAAAAGAAGAGTGGGGAAGTAGGGTACATGATATATTCTTATACCCAGGAACAATAAAAGTCTAAAAACTATTATCAGATAAAAAGAAACATACAGTTATAGACTATGTCTTTTTTAATGTACAGCTTTTTATTGATTAGAGAGAGAGAAATATCGATTTCTCGTTCAAGTTATTTATGCATTCACAGGTTGATTGTTGTATATGCCCTGACCAGAGATTGAACCTGCAACCTTAGCGTATCCGGAGGACGTTCTAACCAACTGAGCTACCTGGCCAGGGCTAGACTTTACTAATATTAATAACCCATTCCCATGACCTGCTCAGAGATCCTAAATTCATTCAGAATTATTGCCACCAAAAGTTACATAAGAGTTCAGTTTTTGAAGCATCTTTTAATCTCATATAATTTTCACTGCTATCCTATGAAGTAAACAGGGAAAGTATCATCATTCCTATTTGATAGAAGAGAAAACTGAAGCTAAGCTATAAGTTTAAACTTCTCTAGATACTGAAGTGACAGACCCATCTTGGAGCCCAAGTGCACTGGTTCTTGGCTGGTACTCTTTCCCACACATGTCAACATGATGTGACAACAACACAGCAGTAGTAGAGGAACAAAAACAGCTCTCTAAGAACACCCTCCACCCTCCCCCCCGCCCAGTTAATCTAGTTGAAATCAAATACTGTTTTCTGGTCATACCAAGTATTTGCTAAATGAGACATAGAAACAAACAGGAGCAGGGAAAAAATATAGTGTAGGCTGACAGCTTCAGTTTCTAACCAAGACAGACTAAACAAAAAGCATCAAAAAGCACTTGTGAGATTTTTTTAATTTCTCACTTTTAAAGCTCAGTAATCATATGTAATTTTGCCAATAAACATCACACATTTGCATTCTAAGCTCATGTGGTCTCAAGTCTTTTAGCTACTTGACAATGTTTGTTACCTTACTACTGAACCTGAAATAAGATTGTATTACATAAAGTTGTACTTTTATTACGATAAAATATTCCATACATTTGCTATTCACAGACTGTTTATACCATATGCTGTAAGAATGCACATGGGCTCTGTGAAAACCTTTACACATACAGTCTATGCCATCAGTGGCGCACCTCAGAATGCAGACTGTGTAGGGGCATTTTTATTTCAACATATAACTTTCTTCTCAGTCTTTTTCCTTAACTCAAAATGACTAGATAATTTTAAACTATAAAAACATTTTATTTTTCATAGCTTTACTTTGATTTCACACTTTGTTTTAAACTCCATTAATTTTAATTAAAGCTCTCCTTGTGTGGGCTAAGAACAATTTCCTATTCTTACCTTGGATGCTTGAGTTCTGGAGCTCAAATAGTGCAATCTGGCACATTCCCGAATATAAGCAGGAGCCTGGGCAGGTAATGAAAGAAAACCAAGACCAAGCAATAAGTAGTATCTAAAGTTCTTTTAAGACTCAATGACAATGGTTTTCAAAATAATTTGACTGGCAGATTACTTTAGAAAAAATAAAGATCTTCAAAATGCCCTATTTTATAGCTTCCACCAAAAAGATAATTCCAACAAATCTGATGGGAAAACTAAGAAGACACTACTATAGTTGTTCCTGTTCTACGAATCAAATATGGCATGAATATACTCAAATGAGCCAGAAACAAAAATATAGATATCTGTAATAATGCTTATACTTGGCAAAACCACCCCTAAAATTCTTACAAATTACAGTGGTCATATTTTAGAATTTTTGTATAGAAAATACCATTTAGAATTCCTATGAGATAACAACAGACAAGGAAAATTTTAGCTTACTGATATATTGCCCAGAATCCTATGACAAGAACCCTGATACTGTCCAAATATAAGTGTAAAATAATACAACCATTATGGAAGGAACTTAGCAACATTTAAGAAAATTACATTTGCATTTACCATTTACCCAGAAATCTCACTTCTGTGAATCTATCCTGAAGATATAACTCCAGAAAAACAAAATAAATTTGGATAAGATAAATAAAAAAATTGGACACAACCTCAAATATCTACTAGTAGGGGACTGACTGAATGAACTTTTATACATCCACACATGCAGTACTATGCAGTCATTAAAAACGAAAGAAGGGAGGGAAGGAATGAGGAGGGGAAGAAGGGAAGAAACATTGTGTGAACAGGTAGGGAGTGATGTCCAGGATCTAATGTTACATGAGAAAAGTTATGGAACAGTACATAAAAGTACTTAGTAAAATGAAGAGGAAATAAGAATATACACATGTAGACACATTTATTTGATTTTACAAAAAGAAACACTAGGAGGATAAGCCAGAAAACAATACAAATAATGAAAGAACTGAGATTTTTTCCAAGCATACTTTCTCGTATAGTTTTAACTTTTCAACCATGTAAATATACTACAGATTCAAAAAATTAAATTCAAAAGGGAAAAAAAGCAAATTCTAAAACTGAACAGAAACAGAAAATAAGTGAACATATCTATACATCAAATTGATACTATAAACACAGAGAAAGGAATTATTTCACCTAACTTTTGAAAACTGTATTCTGACTACATATCCTTAATGAAATATATTTAAGAAAAAAGGAACTGCCAAAAAATCTTAAACTCCCATCAACGGGTTTATGTAGGTTTACTATAAGTAGTAACAGCTGTATTATTTTGAAACCATTTTATGTATATCATAGAATAAAGCAAATAATAACATACGTAAATGCTATGAAAATCTGGAATTTGCAATGTAAAAATAAAAAGGTGTACCCTAACCAGTTTGGCTCAGTGGATAGAGCATCGGCCTGCGGACTGAAGGGTCCCAGGTTTGATTCTGGTCACGGGCATGTACCTTTTGCGGGCACATCCCCAGTAGGGAGTGTGCAGGAGGCAGCTCATCGATGTTTCTAACTCTCTATCCCTCTCCCCACCTCGCTGTAAAAAATAAAATATATTTTTTTTAAAAAGAATAAAAAGGTGCAAATATAAAGTGAAAGAAGTCAAGAAAAAGCTCTATAATGTTAAATCATAATTGGAAATAGTATTAATATAGATTTCTTGCTAAAAAATTTTAATCTACTTCCTTGCCCTCAAAGAGCCAATGACACCCCAGAAACAATGAGTATACCTAGTGTTAAAGAAACCAAGGTTCCTTGGAGAAAATTCTTGATTTCAGGCCCAGGGCAAAGCAAAAAAAGAGTGAGCTGGGGACATTTTATTTTATTTTCATTGATTGATTGATTTTAAAGAGAGAGAAGAAGATGGAGACAGAAAGAAAAACATCAATTTGTTGTTCCACATATTTATGCATCCATTTGTTGCTTCTTGTACATGTCCTGACTGGAGATTAAACCCACAACTTTGGCGTATTAGTACAATGCTCTAAACCAACTGAGCTACCCAGCCAGGGAAGCTGGGGACATTTTATGCCAGAAACAAACAAAACCAAATAAACAAAAAGTCTGCCCCAAAAAGATAATATAGCTGAAGGATATCCAGAAAGGGAGCCAGAGATGGACCGCTTTAAATAAAAATCTGAGGGTCTTAAGTATTTTATAATTCACAGGAAAAGAAGGACTTCCCAAATAAAGTGAAAATTGGCCTTAACTGTATATTTAAGTCCATAGGTTAAGATGTGATGACTCATGTTGAAGAGAGATAAAATCATACTGGGTCAGACAACAGAGGACAGAACTACAAACAGCTAAGAAGAATTTCAGAAAAATGGTAGGGGGCGGGGGGTGGAATACAAAGAACACAGAATGAGGCAACACAGGATATGAGGATTAAGGAGGATAAAAATCCATACAAAGGAGCCCGAGAACAAGAAGACACAACAAAGCACAAGCACAAATCTGGAGCTTAAACACTACCTCAGAGTAAGTGACAGAGCACGCAGAACAACCATTTTTCATCCAGAGGAAAAGCTCAGGGAAGAACATCATCAGCCAAATGGTAAAGCGGGTGCCCACAAGGACACCAGTTCTGGCCCAAATTGAAAGAGACAAGACCTAAATCTCCAAGATAAATCTCCAAAAGCCTTTTTCTCTCTCCTTTAGTGATCAACGGAGACTCAAACAGTGCTCACACTAGCCTGGAAACAAAGCTAACGTAGCAAACAAAGATGAAAACCCCAAGAATGAGAAGCTGAAAGAAGAATCTATGGAAGAAAAGAAAAATAGAGTAAAAACTAAGAATATTTTAGAGTCTAATCATTAGAATTTGTACTAAGCTGAACTACATCTAGGAAATTGTACTCTGTTTTATCTCTAAGGTTTGTATGATCTGTACTCTCAAAATCCTTCACAGGGATTTGTTATCTTACGTGGTAAAAACGAACTTTGCTGGTGTGATTAAGTTAAGGACCTTGTAGTAGAAAGCTTATCCTAGGTTAGTCAGGGTGAGTCACTTGGGTCCTTAAAAGTAGAGACCCTTTCCCAGATGTGGCCAGAGGGAAGTGTGACTAGGGAAGAATGGTCAGAGAGATGCCACACTGATAGTCTTGAAGACAAAGGAAGGGGAGCATGAGCCAAGGAATGTGGGCAATCTCCAGAGGGGGAAAAGGCAAGTACACAGTCTCTCCGGAACAACCACAAAGGAATGCAGCCAACACCTTGGTTTTAGCCCAGTGAGACTCCAGTCAGACTTCTATATAACCATTAAAAGAATACATTTGTGTTGTTTTAAGTCACTTAAAAAAAAAAAATCCTTCAACCCTAGCTGGTCTGGCTCAGTGGATAGAGCATCAATATGTGGACTGAAGAGTCCCAGGTTTGATTCCAGTCAAGGCCAGGTACCTTGGTTGAGGGTCCTCCCTGGTCCAGACCCTGGTCGGGGTGCAGGCAGGAGGCAACCAATTGATGTGTTTCTCTCACATCGATATTTCTCTGTCTTTCCCTCTCTTCCACTCTCTCTAAAAATCAATGAAAAATATCCTCGGGTGAGGATTAAAAAAGAAAAATCCTTCACAGTGAAGTACAAGTATATAGTTTCAGTTTTGCAAAATGAAGAGTTCTGGAGATGGATGGTAGTGATCATTGCACAACAGTATGTATGTAATTTGTGGTGAAAAAAAAGGAATTCTATAAAAGTAACTTCACAGGGTGATCTGATCATAACCTCCTAATTGGGCAGGTCATGGTACATAGTCACAACCAAGGCCCATATCTTCTTTAGGGAGAGGTTTTTATGCAAGCCCTGTCCATTGGTCTTGTGCATCTAGGTTAACACACCTTTGAAATACCAGAAGTAATACCCCTAGGAAGGGATAGTAACCGTCAAGAAAGCATATACTCTTGTTAACTATCCTGTAATCCAATCCCCGCCTTGCTTTCTCCCTACCTCCATGTAATCTTCCTCACTTTCCCTCCTGAATTTCAAATGTACAAAAGAAGCTGCAAAACAGTTATTCTCTGGAGCATTTGAAATCTTGCTCCTCGGCATATGTCTTCATTTGGTTCAAATAAACTCTTGTAAAAAGTCTCTACAAGTTTGGACACTTCTTATCAAAAATTAATGCCAAAGGGGGAAACAAAAAGGACATCTGTAATACTTTCAACCATAAAGATCAATTTTTTTTTAAAGTTTTAGAAAAACAACAACAAATTAATGCCACTGAAGATGGTCAAGATGGTAAATTTTGTCATGTGTATTTAACCACAATAAAAAATTTGAAGAAAAGAAAACAGAACTGGGCGGTCTTAAAAATTCTCAGCCTTTCCAGATGACAAAAGAAATTCACTATCAGAAAAGGCCAAGGATGTGACTGCAACCTTTATTTATAAAATCTTATAAACATCAAAAGGTCAGACTATCCAGTCACACAAACAGCCCTTTCAAGAGAGTAAAGATGTGCCTCACAGATCCTCTCAATCAAACCAGAGGGCCTTCCAGGAAGCTTAAAGGTCATGTCCCTCAGCCTTCTCAAGTAGAGAAGGGTTTATCTTCAAAAGATTTATAGACCTGGCTTCTGTCTAATGGAGTGAATCCCACTGAAATCCACAGAAGACCTACAAAGTTCTTGAGAAAATGATGTTGGCAGGAACACTGCTAGTTTAGACTAAAAGGGACAGAGTACAAAATGAAAGGAGGCTGTCAGACCCTCAAAATTCTACTGGAAGGAAACAGGGAGGATAAAACTAAGTGGCCAACATATGCTGCTTTTCATGAAAAAGGAAGGACGACTCGGAGGAATGAAGCCAATTACCGAGGGGGCAAAGCTCTGCTCAGCCTCCAGGTACCTTCCTATCCTCCCCACTTGGTTGTTCCTTCCAGGTTTTGCTACTGTACAATCTGCATTCCAGTCCCAGGGCCTTTCTTAACTGGTTATCATCACCTTAACAGCCCTCCTAAGGATCCTACCTTGCTCCATCCTCCTTGTCTTTTACCACCTACTCCCATCCCTTACCTACCTTAAAAAGTTTCTGCGAGTGTTTAATCATAAAAGCCATCCCACTGTTTAACTTCGTGATGTTCTCTTGAAGGTCATTTGCAGTGACCTATTCAGGAAAAAGAAACAAAAAAAGGGGATTACAAACTGGGAAATAGAAGGCAGATACTCCACTTCCTTACCAACAAGCTTATTCTTTCAAAGACATGATAGTTTCTGTCCCTAACCAAGGTGCCTCTAATACAATGTTTCATTCTGCAAAGGCTTTTTGATTCAGCAGATTTCCACTGGAATGACATAATCTAGGAAGAACCATGTGACCCTGAAGTGACCAAGAAATCCTTGGGAACCAATCTTCATTTCCTAATTCTGCTTGAAAATGAGACATGCAAGCAGAGTTGCTAGAGAAGATCTAGTCTGGGAGAAGGGTCAGGAAGAACAGAATCTGTACCAACCACCATTGCCCCTTCAGAGAAAGGAGCTTCTCCAGAGACAAAAGAGAACTGTCACTACTAATTGATACCAATGTGACATCTGTTTCTTAAAAATACAAATTGTCATTGATTCTCTTCTCTTGTTTCTACTGCTTTTTTTTTTTAATGTTTTTATTGATTTCAGAGAGAGGAAGGGAGAAACAGAAACATCAATGATGAGAGAGAATCATTGATCGGCTGCCTCCTACACAATCTCTACTGGGGATCGAGCCTTCAACCTGGGCATGTGCCCTGACCGGGAATGAAACTGTGATCTCCTGGACAATGGGTCGACACTCAACCACTCAGCCACACCGGCCAGGCTCTCCTGCCTCTTTTAAGCACTTCAGCATCTCTACTATCCCAAAGCCCTCATCTTCAAGATGTATCTTTATTCATTTTTGCTTTTAGCAAGACCTCTTAAATCTCTTTATAAGCACAGATTACTCCTTTTCCACAGTCTCAGCTGGTTCTAAAATCCTTAATATGGACAAATGTTGGTGTGTCCTTTTCTTCTCATCACCCAACCATCCTTCCACCCTCATCCCCACCCCCCACCAACCTTTCTCTGAGGAAAGGCCCTTCCAGGCCTGGAACTTTATATTATTTTTTTCACTAGTTACCTATTAGGTTAAATGTACCACATAGCCTCTCCTTAATCTTTCTTTTCCCATTTCTTATATCCCCAAAATATTTTATAAGTCACCATATCCATCTGCCTTGTCAGATAAGTGGGAAAGATACTATTATGACCAGTTTATAAAAGAGGAGCCTAAGCATAGAAAACATAAAGAATACAGGCCACGCCCTGGTCGGGTTTGGTCAGTGGTAGAGCATTGGCCTGCAGACTGCAGGGTCTCAGGTTCAATTCCCGGTCAAGGGCACGTACCTCAGTTCCAGGATTGATCCCTGGCCCCCCGTCAGGGCACATACCAGAGGCAACTAGTCGCTATGTCTCTCTCACATCAATGTTTCTCTTCCCCTCCCCCCTATCTTTCTCTCTCTTTCTCCACTCTTCCCTCCCTTCCAATCTCTAAAGATCAATGGGAAAAATATCCTTGGATGAGGATTTTAAAAAAAAAGGGGATACAGGTCACAGCTGGTTTATAGCTTCCAACCCAGGTATCCTGCCTCCCAATTCCATCATACAGTAAAATCTATATGAATGGACAGGAATATGAGCCTATGTACTTCCAGGTCAAGAATGAGTTCAAAAGACTCTTGATAATTTATTTCTCATGCAAGTCACTGAGAAAGCCATGTTCTCAATAATAAGAAGCACGTTCGGCTTTATCCAAGGAGAGAATATCTACAGGAAATAGAAAAGTTAGGATAAGGCAAGATTGTTCTATGTGTCATCTTATCTAAAAGCTTAGTGACATCCTAAGATTAGTTGATATCAAACAACTCTATTCTAAATTTATACCATGTAATCTTCAGGAATCAATTTGGTTTCCCAAGATGGCATTCACGTTAAGAAGGAATTCAGATTGACCCACCAAAAGGAGTATTCTTGTTTATTTAGTAGCTATAATCCCATTGAGTTCCCACTAATAAGTTGCCATTCAGATTTATCAGAGATTGATTTATAGAGAAAAATTAGTTGCCTCTAATTTCTGAGGTTAACAGAAATTGGCCCCATCAGGTCTGATGACTGTTTTTTTGTTGTTATTAATCCTCATCCGAGGATATTTTTCCATTTATTTTTAGAAAGAGTGGAAGGGAGGGGGAGAGACAGAGAAAGAGAACCACTGGTTGCCCCCGTGGCCCCAACCAAGGCTGGATTAAGCCTTGCCACCAAGGTACATGCCCCCAACCAGAATCGAACCCGGGACCCTTCAGTCCTCAGGCCACCAGTCTATCCACTGAGCCAAACCGGCCAGGGCAGGTCTGATGACTCTTAAATGAACTAATAAAGCAAGCTCCTAAACTTGTTAAACAGAAGGCTAGACCTTGGACCCTTGATAACCTCACTAAGGTACAGTCACAGAATAAGGCCCAGCCCAAGAATACCGAGCAGTCTTTGCTCTTCCCCTCGACACTCACATTTTTTGGCCACATGACATGGGGTGCAAACATAAGGGCAAGGTTATAGGCAGACATCTTATTCTTGTCTTGTTTCTTTGCTGTCTGGTACAGGAGATCCAGCAGTAACTTCAGCAAGTTACGATTGGGTGGAGGGAGGATGAGGAAGAGCAACTGGAGAGCTTCAATTTGCCGCTCCTTATCTGGTCTATCGGTCTTGTTTCCTTTATCATCAAACTGCATCAAATCTTGAGGACAAAAAGAGATGATTGCAAGTAGGGAGGAAATACAAGCAAGAGGGAAAAAATGTTCCTACTATTATCCTCCCCTCAACTCTAATCGAAGAAAGAAGAAGAAAAAAGAATTAGGCATAACCAGAGATTATAGCAAAATATAATAAAATAATGTCAATACAACTGAATAATCAAAAAGAAAAACCCAATCAAAAATGGGCAAAAGACTTGAATAAATATTCCTCCAGAGAAGATTTATAAATGGCTAGTAAGCATTTGTGCACTCGGTATCATTAGCTATCAGGGAAATGTAAATCAAAACCATAATGAGATACTACTTCATACCCACTAGTATGGCTATAATAAAAAGGACTGACAATAACAAGTGTTAACAAGAACGCTGAGAAAATTAAACCTTCTTACATTGCTGGTGAGAATGTAAAATGGTACAACCGCTTTGGAAAATAGTTAGGCAGTTCCTCAAAAAGTTAAACATAGAGTTACCATATGGCCCAGTGATTCCACTCTTAGGTGTACACCCAAGAGAAATAAAAATATGTCCACATATACCTTTAATAATTCCACCCCCTTCACTTTTCCTCACTCAGATATTTTACTGCTAAAAGAAATATGAGAATGAATTATGCTCTGATAACAGGATAATCCAGGCAGGTCCCCATGGAGTCAGAATGATTGTTTCTCCCCTAAGAGACTACACAGGTTATCAATAAAAACCCTGGGTAATGGGAATTTCAAAAGACACAGATAACTATTTGCATATAATTCATATAGACCTGAAAATGATTACAATGTGTTGGTTAAGCTGTTGAACTGCAATAACTCCAGGTTTAGGAAACAAAGATAATATTTCTAGAAACTATTCCCTGTTAATATGAAGTTGAAAACAAAAATCCCTTCCAGTTATGAGCAAGGCATAGCAAATGCAACAACTGTGCCACACCTCAATATGATTTCAACGAACAGTGAATCATGGGGTGGTGAAGGGGAGGATTTTAAATACTGTACTAAGTTAACTCAATGGGAAAACAAACAGAAAAAGCATTCTTCATGTTACCCTTATAAAAAAAACTTATGAATATTTTCCAAATCTTTTTCAAAGATCAATTTTCTCTCCAAAGTAATTGTAAAGTTATATAATACTCTAGTAATATTTTCTCATTTGTATCATCTGGGTTATTACTGATAGTGCTAAAAAAAATCTAATCTGCCCTGGCCGGTATGGCTCAGTTGGTTGGGCATCCTCCCGTTGCACCGAAAGGTTGCTGGTTTGATTCCTGGTCAGGGCACATGCCCGGGTTTCAGGCTTGATCCTGGGTAGGGGGCCATGTAGGAGACAGCAGATCAATGTTTTGCTCTCACATCGATGTTTCTCTCTCTCCTTCTTTCTTCTCTCTCTAAAAATCAATAAAAATCTTTTTTAAAATCTAATTTTGCCCCACCGGTGTGGCTCAGTGGTTGGGTGTCAACCTATGAACCAGGTCACGGTTTGATTCCCGATCAAGGTGCATGCCAGGTTGTGAGTGAGGGAGGGGGGGGTGGGGGGAGCCAATCAGTGATTCTCGCTTATTTATCATTGAAGTTTCTCTCTCTCTCCCTCTCCCTTCCTCTCTGAAATCAATAAAAATATTTTTTAAAAGGTAAAAAAATAAAAAAATCTAATCTTATTCGATTTTATAAATTTAAACTTAGTTTTCTTTTAAGTAGTAAAAATTATTCAAAAGAAATCTTTTATTTATTTTTCTTAAAATTAGAAGCAAGGGGTGCTCACTTTGGCAGCACATATACTAAAATTGGAATGATACAGAGAATATTAGCATGGCCCCTACAGAAGGATAATACACAAATTCATGAAGCACTCAAAAAAAAAAAAATTAGCCCTGGCCAGGTAGCTCAGTTGATTGGAGTGTCATCCCATTCACCAAAAGGTTGTGGGTTCAATTCCCAACTAGGGCACAGACCTAGGTGGCACGTTCAATCCCTGGTTGGGACGCCTATGAGAGGCAACTAATTTTTCTCTATCACATCAATGTTTCTCTCTCTCTCTCTTTTTCTCTTTCTCTAAAAATTAATTAAAAATATATTATCAGGTGAGGATTAAAAAAAATTAGAAGCAAAAGAAAAATGCTCTAGGGCATTAAATTATAGCAGTATTACAGATGTGCAATTGAAGAATGAATTCCCTACCACTCAGGCATAAAGGAGAATGAGAAAACTATTTATGAGCTGAAAATGGAACATTCTCCAAGATATAGTAAGTAAAAAAATAACCATGAATGTAATACCTCACCATTACATAAAAAAAGGAATCTAAGTATTTGTAAGTGTATAAAATATCTCTGGAAGGATATATTAGCAATCATAGCATTGGTTGCCTCTGGAAAGAAAAACCAGGTGCTGGGGAACAAGGGTGGAAGAGAGTCTTTTCACTGCATAGTCTTTTGAACAGTTTGAATATGAACAATGTGAATGTATTAACTAGTATTTAGGCAGCAAATAAAAGTATTTTTAAAAAACAAATTTACTTGGGGTCATGAATACACAATATAATATACAGATGATGTATTACAAAATTGTACACCTGAAACCTATATAATTTTATTAACCAATGTCACCCCCATAAATTCAATTTTTTAAAAATCCTAGGGAAATATTTTTTAAAAACTTCCAAGAGTAGAGATGATCTCAATTGAGGCATAATAATACTTAGCTAAAGCCTCAAACCAAGGCAAATGTACCAAACCTATAACCATCTCAGGAATGTAAATTAATCAAATAAAAAGCATGTGTTTATTTATTTATTTATTTCTAAAGGTTTTGTTTGTTTTTTTAAAGATGTTTCTATTGATTTCAGAAAGAGGAAGGGAGAGGGAGAGAGAGAAAAAGCACCAATGTGAAAGGGAAACATCCACTGGCTGCCTCCCAAACACCCCCTGGGACTGAGTCCCTAACCCAGGCATGTGCCCTGACCAGAATCAAACCCAACCCTTTGGTGCATGAGAAGGCACCCAAGCAACTGAGCCACACCAGCCAGGGCAAGCATACATTTATTGAGCAACTGAAATATTCAAAGCACTATGCTAGGATCCCTGAGGAATAAAAAAAAAATTAAACCCACATTTTATGTTCAAAGAAACTAATTTATTAAAACACACACACACACACACACACACACACACATTTGATTAAATTAAACTTAGCTGGCCAAAACTTATGAGTGCCCAGAAGTCCAAAAATACCATGAAGTTTTAACCAATATTAACAAAAGTAGGGGCTTTATTGTTTTGTTTTTCCCTCCCTTCCTGTCTTTCTTTTTTTGTTTGTTTGTTTGTTTGTTTAGAACAGTGGTCAGCAAACCCATTAGTCAACAGAGCCAAGTATCAACAGTACAACGACTGAAATTTCTTTTGAGAGCCAAATTTTTTAAACTTAAACTATACAGGTAGGTACATTGTTATTAACTTAATTAGGGTACTCCTAAACTGGCCTTTGCTAAAAACGTCCTCAATCTGAGGGGTCGACCTCAGCGAACGTACCCCCACTTCTTCTAACGCCACTTCTTCAAAATAGACTCGCCCAGGCCAAAAACCAACTTCTGCGCATGGGCCATGAAGTTTCAATTGCACTGTACGTGCGCACCCGCACATGGTATTTTGTGGAAGAGCCACACTCAAGGGGCCAAAGAGCCGCATGTGGCTCACAAGCCGCGGTTTGCCGACCGCTGGTTTAGAAGTATTGCTGTGGATTACAAACAATAGAAAATTCCAAAGGACTTTACTAAATTGAAAGAAATACACTTACATCTCCTCCCCTCTTACACTCACCAGCAATTTTGAGGTGTGCATGGAAATGTTTGTGTGTCAGCAGGGGCTCAGGTAACTCTCCTAGAAACATCTTCAGCAAGGTGGCAACGTCATTTGAGTGAAACTCCCCTGATTCCAAATCAATATCAGTTCCATTATTGAGAGCATCCCTTAAAATCTGCTGCCGGACACTATTCCCTGGTATTCTAAACAAACCTTCCACTTGTAAGTCTGTTTAGTATGAAAGAAAATAGAGGACATACAAAAAGGAAACAAAAAGAGAAAGTATGGTTAAAATAAGCCATCTAAAAGACTACTTTACACTTGAAAGGCTCTTTACGAAGACCTTGAAGAAGGTTTTTGCCTTTTTTCCCCCAGAGTAGTTTAGAATCCACTAACACCTGTGGAGACAAATCTGAGCATCCCTGAGACCTGGACATCTCCTGGACTAAGAGGTGATCCACTCAGGAGTCATTCGACGTCTTGAGACACATCTGGAGACTGAATTTAATCTAAACAATAGAAATGAGCTCAAAAAACAAGTTGGAAGAAAAGCCAAATCTCCCTGACGGCCCCTTTCCTTTGCCATCTGAGAGTTTGTTTGAAGGGGCCGAGTTCATCTGTGGAGGTTTGTTGCTCCTATAAACAGTTTCCCAGCCCAAAATGAATCTAAAGTCTCTGTGTTGCCTCTGGAATTGGAACTCTAACCTGTCAGATCACCTTTCAGTCTAAGATTCCTGGAACCTTCGCATCATCCCAACTAAATTATGCTTCCACCCCAACTAGATCTACACTAATCTCAACCGATAAAAAAAGATGGGACGTATAGTTTTGGTTTGATTGGAAGAAGCCTGAGAGTTCAAGTTTTCAGCTTGGGTACATATTTATCTTCATATAACTCCCTAATTGAGAAGACAGGGCCAGGCAGACAACAGTAAATGAATGAACAGGAACCATATCGAACTGGAGAGCACATACTTGTGCTCTAGCCCAGCAGTTTTCAACCTGTGGGTCGCGACCCCTTTGGGGGTCAAACGACCCTTTCACAGGGGTCACCTAAGACCATCGGAAAACACATATATAATTACATATTGTTTTTGTGATTAATCACTATGCTTTAATTATGTTCAATTTGTAACAATGAAAATACATCCTGCATATCAGATATTTACATTACGATTCATAACAGTAGCAAAATTACAGTTATGAAGTAGCAACAAAAATAATTTTATGGTTGGGGGTCACCACAACATGAGGAACTGCATTAAAGGGTCGTGGCATTAGGAAGGTTGAGAACCACTGCTCTAGCCGATTGTGTCCAAGTGGCAACAGGGCCCAAGGCTGCTAGACCTTCCTATCATCCCAGGAAATTGAAAACCTAGACTTTCCCCATTTTAAAACACTGATAACTAATTGTATTTTTAATTTAATCCTTTGCCAACTAAAAACAAAACATGAATGTAGCCCTTAGGCTGCCTAACCTCTGCTCTAGCTCCTAGCACAGTGTTTGCATTAAATTTATCAAAGGGTCATAAAATGCCACACACTTCACATACACTCAGCTGTGCCAAGCACTTAGAGGAATGACATAACCAGCATGACTACTAAAAAAGAAAATGGGAATTAAGTAAAGAATGTATTTTAATTATATAATTCTAAAGATAAAAGTATCTTTGGTGATAAGTCATTCTCCCTTGAGTAAATGTTATGATTCTCTAGGGACAATGTATTTTTCCAGAAAAAAAGTCTGAGTCAAGGGGAAGATGTGATTGACACAAGCTAATTTATATACATATTTGAAAACAAAAAACAAATCAATATATGAAGTGAAATTTAAAACAGAACATATTTAGAAACATGCCACCTGAAATTATCACTGATTAGTGTCTTTGTTGATGGTTAATTGGCACCTACTAACTCAAGGGTGTCAGCTCTCAATAGAAAGCAGACAATTCTTCATTAACAAAGAGCAACAAAATTTTAAGTAGTCTTACTTTTGTGTAGATATTCAATTAGCTGGTATATCTGAGCAATGCCTTCCTCTGTCAGTGGGGATCCAAATACTACTCCTTTTTCTAAAAAGAAAAAAGAAAAGAAACAATAACACAGGACTATATTTTCCACAAACAATACAAAAGTCAGCATACTGAAAACCACTCAAGCATCCGATGTCACAGTTCAGCAAAGGCTTTCACAAGGTCAATAACAAAAATCTTAAGAGCTGGCCCTTGCCAATTTGGCTCAGTGGATAGAGCGTCCGCCTGTGGACTGAAGTGTCCCAGGTTCGATTCTGACCAAGGGCACATGCCCGGGTTGCGGGCTCGATCCCCAGTAGGGGGTATGCAGGAGGCAGCCAATCAATTCTCATTGATGTTTCTATCTCTCTCTCCCTCTCCCTTCCTCTCTGAAATCAATAAATATATATTTAAAAGAAAAAAAATATTTTAAGAGCTGGAAGTGCACCTGAAAATGCACCAGAAATGCAATCAAAACAACTCTCAATCAACTCTGCCAGTTTAACATTAGATTGTAGGTTTCTTGAAGACAAAGTAACAATACCTAAAATGTTGATATTTAATTTAAAAACAAACAAATAATAGAACTTAGAGCCATAATTGTCAAAGCATGACAGACTATCCACTAGAGTAGATACAGGGTCAGATTATAATGTTTAAACTTTTTGCTACCTTAATGATTTCCTTATATTTAATAAAATAAGATAGTACCTCTTTAATATCTTATCAAAAGTAGCACTGTAGCCCAGCTGGTGTAACTCAGTGGTTGAGCGTCAAAGTTCAATTCCCAGTTGGGGCACATGCCCCGGTTATGGGCTCAATCCCCGGTGGGGCGCGTGCAGGAGGCAGCCAATCAATGATTCTTTCTCATCATTGATGTTTCTATCTCTTTCTACCCCTCTCCCTTCCTCTCTGAAATCAATAAAAATATATACTTTTTAAAAAGCAACGGAAGTTGCTCCAAGTTCTGGGGATCACACCTCTACTGTTAAAGAGGAACAGCACTGTAATTTATTTTCTGGGAAGGCTGTTTTGGGGTGAGTCATAGATATTTTTATTTGCCTTTTCAAAGCATTCCATTGAAGCATTCCATTCAAGAAACCTACAATCTAATGTTAAACTTGCAGAGTTGATTGAGAGTTGTTTTGATTGCATTTCCTGGTGCATTTTAAGGTGCACTTCCAGCTGTTAAAACATCTGGGAACTAACAACTGCAATTAAAAAAATGCTCAAACTGTCTTTACTGTACTCTCTAGCTATGAACTTTGTTTTATTTTAAACATTATTTTAGTACAGTATTAATAGGGAATGAAAATCAAGGTGTCCCTGATAAATACCTAAACTAATTGTCACCTCTCAGGGACTGACATATATTTGGCTTTAATTTATCTAGACTTTTAAAATAATTTTGGTTGTTTTACTTCTTATGAAAATGAAAGAAAAAACAACAACCAAAATTGCTTTATGGTATTAGCAACTCCTCAATGAACATACAGATGCCAAGAATGAAACTCAAAAAGCAACTAAGATGCGTACACCCTTCCCAAACACATCTCCTACCCTTTCGCTTGAGAGACATTAGAGACCGGAAGAATCCTGTCGCTGGGCCAGCCCCACCAGGCAACTTAAGTTCCACTTCTCCCATCAGCTGAGCCAATTCAGTTCCAGGTAAATCAATGAGCCTTGTGATATTGCTGACCACCAACTCGGTGAACACCTCAGGTTTCTCATGACGGAGTTTTTCCACAAAAAAGTCAGGATTGAAGATAATGGGCTGACCTCGAAGGGAAGAGTCATTGCAGATAACAAAATTGCAGATGGCATCACTGAAAAACATGAAACAGAAGAATCTTGGGGTGGGCCTAGATCAGTGATGGCGAACCTCTGACACGCGTGTCAGAGGTGACACGCGAACTCATTTTTTTGGTTGATTTTTTCTTTGTTAAATGGCATTTAAATATATAAAATAAATATCAAAAATATA